TCTAGAGATTTGATCTGCTTATATTGCATTTAAGATTAAAGTTTAAGCATTTTTCATGGATTGGAGTTGGGTGTGTACTTGGGGGGACCTATTAGGGAGAAATAACAGGACATTTGAATAGTGCAAGGAAAAAACAGTTGAGCCTAGTCCAAGTAAGATGGGGCAGTCACTTGTGAATGAGTTTGGGAGTGAAAGGGAAGCTATTTTGAGTTTAAAAAGACCACTACAGGAAATGTAAATAGTGGTTTATATAATATGTTTGCAACTGAATTTACTCTCCACTGAAAGGAGAAAACTAAAGAGAAAAAATCTCTACCTGTTTATGGAGTGGGGTGGGAACGGACACATTTGCTTTTAGTTGTGAAACTGTCACCATAAGAGAAACTTGTGCTAATAAGTATTTATATGAAAATGAAAGTTGTATAGAACTGAGTTTTTATACAACTAGTTTAGCTGTTTCTTTTAAACTTCTTTCCCAGTGTCTTTTCTCATATCTTTTCAAGAGTATTTGTGTTCTAAAAAAATCTGGATTAGTCTGCACTTGCCTAATGGTCGGAATATTGGGGACCACAAGCAAATGGCCAGGGAAACCTTTCCCACTCAATCTTGTTTAATTTAGCATTCACACCAGGTGCTGTACTAATCACTTCCCACATGATTTGGAAGGGTTGCTAGCCCACTGTCGTCCAAGAGATGCCTGTCATGACCAAGGCACCAAGATTAGTTTTACTTTAATGATACTTTGTCTTGTACTTTGCTCAATATTTTCGTTTACTAATGTCATTGGTCACCAGCACATTTTTTTGGAGGTAGAGACTGAGATTTAGACCAGTCTTTAATCCCATCTCATTCTTTTTCAACTGCTTGTTAATCAGATTTTTTTAAAATCTATGGTAATATTTTCATTTTTTTTTTTTTAAAGGAGACAGGGTCTTGCTCTTTCACCCATGAAGGGAGTGCAGTGACGTGATCATAGCTCGCTGCAGCCTTGAACTCAAATGGGCTCAAGGGATCCTCCTACCTTGGCTACCTCCCAGAGTACTGGGATCACAGGCATGAGCCACCGTAACTGTCCTTTCATGAATAATACCTCTCATGAAGATATTAACTAAAATTGCAATACATGGTTAATTAGAGAAGTTTATAAATGTGAATTCTAACGAAGAGATTGCTTTAAAGTAGACAAAAAGTGTAACTGTAAAGAGCAGTGATAGCTGGTACTTTGGTATCCTTAAGGTTTTGGAGTTGGTATTTCTTTTCTTTTTTTTTTTTACTTCAGTGAGGGAAGGAGATGACGTAGTGTTAGGTAAAAGGAATATAATAAAATGGATGCTGGTTTAACAGAGTGGCATTAATGTTTATTTTTGTTCATTTCACCAAAAGAGCATATCAAGTATCAGTAGCAAAGTACATGTGAATATACTTCTGCACTCATGTTCCCGGTATTGCAAATTGTAGTTTTTGATTGCCTGCTTATGTGCCAGGCCCTGAGGCTTGGCGCTTGCAATAAATTATCAGGAAGCAATGTAATATGGTTACTAAACAGTCCAGACCTCTGCCACTAGCTTGTTATTTAACCTTCCTTAGCCCTTTTCCTTACTGATAAAAAATTGAAAGATCTTACTGCTGACTGTGTAAAATTTGTGTCTGTTATAGGGGTTGCTATTACCTGTTTATTGAGAAAAGACATTTTTAAAAATAGAAGAAATCCTGGGTCAGGTGTGGTGGCTCACACCTGTAATTCCAGCACTTTGGGAGTAAATGGTTGATGGTCTGGCTTCTATTCTATTCACATCAACATCTCTTATAATGATTTGCTAGGTGGTTTGGCTGGTTCTGAATAAGATAAGCAGTGACATAATACATTGCTTCCTGGATGTTAAGCACACTATTGTCAGAAGGTTGTCAACTTGGGAGAACTCACCTGTTTTGAGATTTGTTTTTGATATAAAGAACTAAGTAGTTGATGCCTTTCAAGAGACACAAGACAAATATACTTGCTATTTATTTTGTAAGATTTTGGCTGAGGAGGTCTATACTTGTTCATGTAGAATTAGAAATCACAAGTTCTAATATACTTACGGGGTAGGGTAGGAGATAGGAAATGCCTGTTAAGAACTGGCTGAGGAAAGCTTTCAACAATTCACTCTATATAATTTTGCATAAAGAGAAACCTGTATTTGAAAACCCACTTGGCAGAATTGTAAGAAATGTCCTTTGAACAGACTGCATTTCAGAATGACTTTTTGAAAAACATTGAGAAATCTAGCAAAATTGAATAATTGCATTTTTTCTTTT